GAGGCCCATTTTGCCAGGATGGATGCGCCATGAAACGGCGCCCCGGTACGACTCTTGGGAAGTACCCAGGGGCCATTTTGTGGCACATCCATCCAGGCAAAACGGGTCGCATGCCAGCCCGAGGCCCATTTTGCCTGGATGGATGCACCACGAAAGGGCGCCCCGAGAGTTGCGGCAGTATGCAGGAACCTGGCCTCTAGAACACAAGCTGGGCTTTTTTTTTTTTTTTTTTTTTTTACATGTTTTCTTTTAATAAAGAAGAAGAAAAGAGAGCCTCCGAACTTTTCAGACTGAGCTGATTGTGGTTCTCAAGTTGCCTGGGGTCACATCCTGGTGGGCTTAAATCACCAAAAACTCCATGCGGGGCTATTTTTACAAACCGAAAGTTTCATTTCCCCGATAAACCAAAAGAATATACAGTGTCGCCGTGATGGAAAAAATAATCGCGGTACACTTCCCCACCGAACCTCTGACCGGGCCTACTACCGGTAGGCACTGTATAGAGTTTGGCCCGGTACTTGCAGACAATAGAAATGAACAGTGCTTGGACTTCAAGACTAGAGAGTGAGGTCCAACCCTTTCTGGCCGAGCACTCCCAAAAGCCAAGTGCTTAGCCAAAAGCAACCATGAATCGGAGCGGTCAAACCTTTGACTTTGACCAAAGACTTGGTGACAGTGGTCAAAGTGCGAAGGTGTGCGAGGGTCAAAGGAACTACCATTTTCCTCGAATAGAACGAAAATACGGTCATTATTTCGGTACGTGGACAGCATGTCAGACTCGATGCAGCTGTAATAATTGTACATTCTCTTCGTGGAAGAATGTAGCTCAAGCGAGCGGCGGAACGCAAACCTTCAAGCAAGACTGTGAGGTCCAACCCTTTCTGGGCAAACAGTCCAAAAGGCAAGGGTTCAGACAAGAGCAGCCGCACGTTGGAGTGGTCAAACCTTTGACTTTGACCAAGGACTTGGCAACAACAACAATGAACTCGGATCGCAGTGCGACAATCTTTTTGGGACAATTCCACAAGAGGGGTGTGCCTGCGACTATCTTTCCGGGACAATTCCACAAGACGGGTGTGCCTGCGACTATCTTTCCGGGACAAGTCCACAAGAGGNGACTATCTTTCCGGGACAATTCCACAAGACGGGTGTGCCTGCGACTATCTTTCCGGGACAAGTCCACAAGAGGGGTGTGCCTGCGACTATCTTTCTGGGACTCGTGGAGGGAAGGGGTCCGCCAGGAGCAGCCACAGGGCGGAGTGGTCAAAGATTTGACTTTTGACCAAAGATTTGCAACAACGAACTCGGAGTGCAGTGCAGTGTAATCTGTCCGGGACGGGCTCCACAAGTTGTGTGCGTGCAAATACCTTTATGTGTCGGGCACTGTGGTGGAAGCAAGCAGGATCCCACCTGAGGAGTAGAGATTCATGCCTCGGGGTACTGCGGTGTAAGCAAGCAGGATCTCACCTGAGGAGTAGAGATTCATGCCTCGCACGGAGAAGCGCCATTCCACTTCAACGCCTGCTCATCCGATCCCGGTGGGTGATGTGTCCACTCTGTCCCATCGGTCCCAGTCAGTCCCATCTGTACCGGTCAGTCCCACCGGTCACAATGATGGCGATTTAGCACTCCAGGTTAGCGTCCCGTTCAAACTTTTTCCACTTCTCTGTGGCCGTTATTGCGGTCAGGTGCATCCACTGTTTAGCACTCCCACCTTGATTGTATTTGTTTGATATGGCTCATTATTTCCCAGGTTAAAAAAAAGCCTCAGGGCGTGCTCACACTAGGACTTTTTCCACTTCTCTTCGGCCGTTATTGCAGTCAGGTGCATGCACGGCGGGTCCGAAAAGCCGTCATATACCCCCCCTGGAGCGTCCTCGTGTGAGTATGCCCTCATTCCAGATGTATAATTAGGAGCCGGTAGCAATCGCGTTCGCTTTGAAATTTGGACCCCCCACCCATCAATCAACAAGCATGTAGAGATGGTTGAAGTTTGGACGCCCACCCTTCGATCTGACAGCAGGCCAAATTGTCGTGTTTCCCTGCCACTTGGCTGTTCTTTTTTTTTTTTTTTTTTTTTTTTTTTTGTGTGTGTGTGTGTGTGTGTGTGTGTGTCTGTGTGTCCTTGCTTGTCTTTTTGATGATGCAGGGTTGAGTTCGTGCGGCCCTGGCCTCCTGCCGTCTCCTCTTGTGAGAATCTCTTCTGTGCTATTTTCCAAAAGTAAAAGGGTGAGCGGGCTGCTTGTGGATCTTCTTCACGAAAATGGTGACCATGGCTCGACCTCCGGGCGAGAGTCTTGCTCTGGACAAGCTATGGTCTGAAGCTAGGGGCATGGATGATGCTCAGGTTAGGAAAGCCATCTGGAAGGGGGCAATCCCCCTGCGGGTTGTGCTTGATGCAAACGAGGTCACGACACTCACGCCCCCACCACCCTACTATGTAAGTTCCATCTTCTTCTCCACGACACAGACCCTAGCCGGCCAAGCTATGCCCCTTTTGTGTGTGTGCATGCACTTCCACACATGCGTGTCTGTTTGTTCGTCTCTCTGTGTGTCTGTGCATGTGTGCGTGTGTGTGTGTGTGTGTGTGTGTGTGAGAGAGAG